CCATCCAAAGTTTCCAAATTTCTAGTGACGTGTACGAAAGTGCCGAGAAGAAGACTATTGTAGCGAAGAGAACAGTCATCATCCCACCAAAAACATTTTCCAGAAATACGGGATGTTCTTGATGCTCGGCGTCTTTGCTATCCTTTTCTTGTTCAAAAGTGGGATGGGCGATGCACAACCACAAAACGCTCAGGCCGCACCGGCTGCTGCTCCAGCTGCTGAGGCAAGACCAAAAGCTGATTAATCTGCGTTTAATTGATTTTTTAATTAAATTAACTATAATTAAGCTTTGTCACAACTAATTAATTTGAATAATATGTTATTAGCTTTGCTGAAGTAAAGAGTTGTAACGAGTTTGTAAGTAATTACATTGTATTACAAGGTCGTCACGTGTTTTCAAGTACATTTGCTTTTGTTCTTCCATTCTCTGCAACATATCTAAAGCGTTTTGGTTCTCTTGTTTGTATTTAGCGAGAAGATCTTCAAACTCTTTGTATTGTTCGTAGGCTTCTTCGTAACGTCTCTTTGTGTTAAAAAGTTAATATATGTGTACCAAACTTCAAATGACAAACTATAAGCTCTTGTATAATTAAATCGTTCGCTGTTTCCATGAATAAATATTTAATGTAGTTCTTAATGTATTAAACAAATGATTTTTATTATTGAATTTTTGTTTTATAAGAAATCAATAATAAAATGTTATTAGTTATTATTATAATTTCATAATTATTTGGCGCCTGTTGATTTTTTTAAATTTAAACAATTGTTGAAGTATTTTATCAACCATTCATTGATTTATTATAGAAAGTAACATAATAACATGAAATAATAAATTTATCATACAAGTATAATTTAATAATCAAAATTGTTTTCAATATTTCACCTAAAAAATAATATATAAGTAATTGATAGAATTTGTTATTTCTTTGACATTTTTATAATAAATTTTGTTAAAATAATTATATTAGAATATATAAATTATATAATATAATTAAAAAAATTGAATTCAAACTGGTTTTTATGATGACCAAATTAAACTATAAAAATTCACTTAATAGATCTTTTTATCATAATTAATAATTTACAACTTTAAAGAAATTTGACAATGATTATGTCAAACTATAAAGATACCATTTCAACCAATAAATGTACTAAAAAACTTGAAAAACAGATCGAAACGAATGTCTCAAAACGGATGGGGAGTTGACTCTTATACACAACGATTAACACAAGAAAACAAAATGCTTGGCGCACTTCGCTCGGCTCGGAGAGTGGAACTTGTTTCAAAGCGCCGGATTATCGAAGATGATACTATACCTTCGGATATACCTCAACGACCCCTCATCGATATATTAACCGACGTCAATCAATGTGACAAAGGCGATGAGCGGAAATTGAAAGACCTTTTAACAGAGATCGGCTATTTTCTGTCGAGATACAACAACACTTGTATAAACGCGAACGCAATACATAACATCGCTATCAATATCATACCCCTATTAACACAACAAAACACGAGTTATGAGATCATAATGCAATGTCTTATGGTCTTAACAAGTATCACATATTTGCCATACGATATCTTTAAACCGCTCATCCCACTTGGGGTGTTCCAAGTTGTGATGTTTTACATGAAGTCGAGCGAAATCAAAATTGTTGCGTTCGCGATGATCGCAATTGCTAATGCGGCAGTTGAAAGCGTCGAAGTGTTTGACTATGTTGCGCAGTTAGGGTTTATGGACATCATGAAAAGTTACTCCACACAGATTCCATCAAAACTGATCAACGCGTACACCTTCGCTTTCAAGACAGTTGGAATAGTCATGAATCAAAAGAAGTGTCGGGACATGACCACTTTGTGTCAATTAACACCTGTTGCTGTGTTTGATATTCCAGAAAACACTTATGATGAATCGTCATCGTTTGTTGAAGACACGTTGTGGGGGATATCATTTGCGTGCGATGACCAAAGATGCATCGAGTTTTATTATCAAAACAACGTCTTCAAAAGAATGTTACTGTTGCTTCGAAGAAAGCGAGTGCAAATCATTAGAAGCATCATTGCGGTGTATAAGAAATGCTTATATAACAACCCTATTATATGTAAACACCTCATTGAAAATAGATTATTGGAGTACTTGAGCGCATTACTAATGTTGGGAGAGGAGAATATAACAACAGACACATTGTTTCTCATCTCAAATTTAGTCTCAGAAATTGACATCTATGAAATGGTCGTCAACTCGAAAATTGTCGATTTGGTCACAAACAAATACAACTCGTTTTCAGTGATAAACAAAAGAGAGGCAAACTACATGTTCACTAATTTGTTAAGTGTCGCAAGTGACGATTGTATAATGGCGTTGGTGCAGAACGAACTCTTTTATTCAATCCTTGCCTCAATGGTAACACAAGATGTTAAAACAGTCCGGTTGTTGCTTTATGGGATACAGAAAGTTATACTTGTTGGAGACAGCTATAAGGAAAATGGTGTAAATATCATCAGAGATAAACTCAATGAAGCAGGGGTTGTGAAATTGTTGGAATATTATGCATTTGAAATCAACGATTTGGAAGTTAAAAAAAATGCAGAATCTGTGTTGGTGGAGTACTTCGATTGGAATGGTATTAATAACACAGATCTCGATCTCAATTTCTAAGTTAAATTTTTAGTATTCAAATTTGGTTTAAAACTATATAATATGGTTTATTATTATTCAATTGAATTTCAATTGTTTTTTTTCGCACCTCGATGACATATTCTATTTGTGTTGTTCACCAAAACTATAATAAAATTAAAAGTGATTTTTCACGAAATTATACTAATTTAAGCAAAAGATCGCTGAAATCTCAAATTAGAACAAATTATTATTTATTAAAAATTTTATTAAAAATATTATGAGAAAAAAAAAGATAATCATAATAATAATAATAATAATAATAATAATAATAATAATAATAATAATAATAATAATAATAATAATAATATTTGTTATTATTATAGTATAGTTAGTTATAATAATACTCAACTCCTATGAATTATTTCACTGTTACATGGGCGACTTCATGTTCTCATGAGTCAATAAATTCTCCAACTCTTCAAAAGTAATGAGCTTCTATCAATGTTTGAGTTCAAGCCTTGATACAATCGCACTCGACTTCACTTTGTGCGCAGAGCATCAAAGACTTGACCCAGTTGTTATTACAAGGTGCACAAATGACGAGTATGGAAAACAATTGCTTGCGGATGTTATAGACAACGTGAAGAGACTCGATTCAACGTGGTCATAAACCTACCGTTTATATCAATGACAAGTTGTACTGTTTGTCGACTTATCTCCATGCGGTGCTGCAACTATTGAAGATTGGATTAGGGACTTGTGAAAGGAATGTATGGGCGACAAAAAGCCTCAAGTGTGCAGCAATAATTGTTCTTTATTTCTAATTGGTTAAAATGAACTTATTGTATTAATATAGTTAAATATACTATTTTTAATGAATTATGGGTCGTAATACAAATGCTATTATATAGTTTAAAAATAATATTAAATTGATAATTAAGAAAGAAAATTTTCAAAACAAAATTTGAAAAAAAATGTGAATCTGTAGAGTCTGTCTGTTGTCTTTTTTTATATTAATTGATTATCATTGTTTAACTATAAAGTAAAGTTTGGTTGTTTTTTAAAAAAATATTATTGAAAACTATAGTTATATAGTACTTAATTTAATAATAAAATAATTTAAAAAACACAACTGAGTCTTCTTCTGTTGTAGGTAGGAAAGATGGTAGGATTTCTATTTCAATAAGAAATACCTTTCTATCAAAAACAGCAACTTTGACGCAAAGGACACCTATATAAGACAATTGAAAATCAACCATAATATCAGATGAAACAAATACTCTTTGTAGCACTCATTTGCTCTGCACTTGCGTTCAGAGGAAGACATGAGAAGCCAGTTGAAGACTCACAAGTCCCAGAAGGTTCAATGGCACCACCTGAGTTCCCACATGATGACCACAACCATGGTCCTCATTTCCCACATCCGCCACATGTGCCTTGTGAAGATGGAAGTGAGTCTTGTGACTCAACTATCCCACCACCTTTCCCACCAAAAGACGGTTCGGATGTGCCACTTGGATCAGAAGTCCCACACTTCCCACCACACCATCCACATGATGACAACTCGACTGCTCCTTTTGAAGGATCAATGGACTCTCGTGTCCCTCCACCTTTTCCATTTGGTCCAAAACATCCAGATCACAACAACCACATCCAGAAGGACCCAAGAAATGAACGAAAAAGAGTCGTCAAACAAGCAGGAAAGTTTTAAGGAAATAAGTTATTTGTTACTAAAAGATTAGTTCTTTTATTAATAAAAGAATCTATTTTGAATAAATACATCGAAATTATTTCAAATAAATAAAAAATATATTAAATTTTACCACAAGTGATTGTGGATAGTAGAGAGGACAAAATACCAACAACAGTGTTAGTTTGGCATGTGTACCACGTATTGAAAACAAAAGAAGATGGTGAAAGAGCGTACAGAATGTTTGAAAGACAACAAGGTCTTTGGGTGGTTGTTTATTCGGGTGCTCAGTCTCAGCGACCACTTCCCTTATAATTATTATCATGTGATTGAAAAGTTGATGGCTACGGGAGGTAATTGATGTATACTATTTTATTATTATACTATTTTATTGTTATGATAGTTAGTATTATTATAGTTAATTTATTAAATATGAATAATAAAGAGAAACCCAAGTAAAAAATCAAATGCTTATTTCTTAGCTGGAGCAGCCTTGGCACCGGCCTTACCACCCTTGGCAGCAGCCTTGGTGGCTTCACCGTGTTCTTGCAAGAACTTAGTGGCATCGTCTGATGGAGCGAAAACGGCCTTGACAACACCGACTGCGACGGTTTGTTTCATATCTCTGACGGCGAATCTTCCGAGTGGTGGGTACTCAGTGAAAGTCTCAACACAGAGTGGCTTGGTTGGGAGGATGTCGATGATGGCGGAGTCTCCGTTCTTGACAAATTCTGGGACACCTTCTTCAGCCTTACCAGTTCTTCTGTCGATCTTGGCTTCCAAGTGGAAGAATTTGCAAGCAATGTGGGAAGTGTGGCAATCGAGGACTGGGGTGTATCCCTTTCTGATTTGACCTGGGTGGTTCATGATGATGACTTGAGCCTTGAAGTACTCAGTCTTTGAGGCTGGCTTGTTCTTGGAATCAGAAGCGACGTTTCCTCTCTTGATATCCTTGACAGTCAAGTTCTTGACGTTGAATCCGACGTTGTCACCCGGAATAGCTTGGGTAAGAGCAACGTGGTGCATTTCGACTGACTTGCATTCAGAGGTGACACCGGTTGGGGCGAAGGTGAGGAACATACCTGGTTTGAGGACACCAGTCTCAACTCTTCCGACTGGGACTGTTCCGATACCAGAGATCTTGTAGACGTCTTGGAGTGGGATTCTGAGTGGCTTCTCAACTGGTCTGACTGGCTCGTTGACGTTGTCGAGTGCTCCCAACAAAGTTGGGCCCTTGTACCATGACATGTTGGTTGATTGGTCGATCATGTTGTCACCCTGGAAACCAGAGATTGGGACGAATGGGATCTTGTCTGGGTTGAAACCAGTCTCTCAAGAAA